GTTTTTAACTACCGATATTAGTAGAATATCATAACACATGATCACGAATAAAGTTAAAAAGTTTCATAAAATTAGATCTTACCAATTTATTGATGAAATTACTCTACAGACTAAAAATATTTCTTTAACTACCCACTTAAAATTGTAATGAATTCATTAAATTATTATAATATCTTAAAATGCATTATAAATTTCAATTAATTAATAACTTAAAAGTATGTTGATAACTATACAAAAATACTCAGAATAACTAATCTATGATTAAGTATTATATGCTTATTTAAGTATTATTTGTCTATTACTATTAGAAATAAGTTAAATTTTAATGCTTTTATAAAATTAATATGATACATTATTTAATAACATATTTGTAATTTAGAATTCAAATAATTCCAAAATTAAATTGATAAGATAATGTAAGTATGAATAAAAATTAATAATTATCATTATTATTAAAACAAATAGGATTTTAGGAATACATTGTTTGGAGAAAAAAATATTGCCAAAATTCACTATATAACAAAACGTTAAATAACAAATAATATTGCAATACAGTTATAATTCAATTTAGTTAATAAACATATTTATATTTATAAAACAACAAACCTATGCCATAATTTATCTATCTGTCAGCACCAATTTGAGAAGTATGGACATCACCATTTATTTTGATGAATTAAGAGCACACTAAATTATTTTTAAAAGAGTTTCTATACACGTCTACATATAAATAATAGCTACATTTATCACATTCATTTTATATTTGGATTATTTTTCATAAAACGATTGAATCTCATAAAGAAAAGCTTCTACTTTAGCTTCGCGAAATGCTTCTTGTAGTTTTGTCGATCTCGTCGATATGATGGTGTGAGCAACCTTTGAGCAACATTTTAAATTTCATTATAAAATATCATTACTGTTTTTCTGAAATTAATATTTTTTTAGAAATAAGAAGCAATGAATAGTTAAATTATTTATTTTGTACGTTTTGACACCGTATGTGTGTCATCATTTAGTATGTTGATATCGGGAAGAGCACAATGAAAATACTAATCTTACTCTCAATTTTAACTTGCAAAAATGATGTGATAAACTACATACATATTTTTTGTCAGTTTATATTTTTATTTTTGTTGTGTTTTTATTGGTATAAACATGCAGAATGAATCATACTAATAAGTAGGGAATGCAATACCGATAGAAAATTTCAATACCGGTATTTCGGTAATTTTTTATTTTCAAACCGGAATACCGGTAAATTACCGGTATTTTTATTATCTTGCACAAACGTAAACAAAATTGAAAGTTACTAGTACAAATATAAAAAAATGTATATACAACTAAAACCATATTCAACTAAACAATAAAACCAATAAAATAAAACAATAAGTTTATTTTTTTAACTAATAATTTAACAAAATTATATCCAATTTAATTAATTCATTATCACTATATTGAGTACTTTTCACCAAAAACAAACTTATGAGTAAGAAAGACCAAACCCTTATAAAAGATCATATTACATTCTTATAATAAACTGTATTATCTGTATCCGATGTGTTAAATTAGCATAATCTCCAATATTTAAAAAAAAATTCTACACTAATTTAAGATCGGATACTTTGTCAAGATAAATAATAAGTTACTATAATTGTTGAGTATTGTTATTTAAAACAATGTGATGCTTCTATAGTATTTTCAAACTTCGAAACGTTTTCGAAAAATAATATTTTATAATTGTAATAAGAAGCAAAAATATTTAGTAATTATCATATATATTATGTATAAAGTTAAAAAAAATAAAGATTACGCAGAGGTAATTTGTATGATATAAAATATTTTGTCGCAAATATTACTTAAAAAACTGTTACATTTTTACATAAGATGAAACAAACATCTCTTAGCTCTTAGTAAAGCAATAAATATTCAGTTTAATGACGAGTTGAGATAATATTTGACATTTGTTTATCCTATAGAATCACTTGAAGATATAGCTGTTTATGCGATTATGGAATTTAAAGATACATTTGTTCCGAAAAATTTAAACTTTAATGTATTTTGTATCAAATAGCGCTTATGTAAAAATACCGAAAATACCGTTATTTTTGGGGTAATTACCGGTAAAATTACCGCCAAAAAATCGGGCGGTTTACCAGTAATTCGGTATACCGGTATACCGGTATTGCATACCCTACTAATAAGATAGTGCAGGTACAGTAATAACCCGTTTATCGCTGTTGCAGTTTAGCGCTCTTTTATTTCAACAATTAAGAAATAGAAAGTTTGTTAACAGACAATTTAACAACACAATATTATTATTGATTTAATATTGCAATGTATAATTATTTGAATGTATTATATTAGTCAATTGGTGATATTTCACAATATAAAAAGTAAATTTAATCAATCTTACATTTATTCTAAAGTCATGGTCATCAGGTTTTGAAGGGATAAATGAGGAAGATGTCAAAGAAATAATTCAAGAAGCAGCGCAGTCTTTCTAATGGTGAGCTCAAGGAATGAATTGAACAAGAAGAAAACAAAAATGTTGACGGCAGTGATTCAGCGGAAAAGCAAAAAGGACTTTCGATGGTGTTTGTAAACAGGAGATTGTCTACCAATGGTCTATCATAACTAAAATAATGGATCAATTCATTGAAAATTGATCCGGATTTTGACAACAGCTCTAAAGTAAGCCGTGGTGTTAGAGATGCCCTATCTGTTTATGATGAAATTTTAAGAAAACATTAGATGCCTAGACAATATTAGAATACGATGTATTCATATATTCATAGATTCATACAATGTATTCGTAGATGCTTTTGTCACAAAACGGCATATTCGTTTTGTTATTTATATTTTATCTTAATTTTTGAAAGAAATAATAATGTGGTATTAGTTTGGGCTTTAAGAAATAAATGTTTGGTTTTATTTTTACCGAATCAATTTCCTAGCCGTCTTTCCCTAACTCCAATATTTTCATGTAATAATTTTCATAGCTTTGTTTAGCGCTGTTTCGCGTTGCGCTCTACTTTGACGGAACGTATCCCTCGCGTTAAACGGGGTATTTCTGTATTAATTGTTTTTATGTGTTTTGTATTTCTACAAAATGGTTGCAAAAAATCTCAAGAATATATTTTAATGTCGAACCAACAATCTAAAGTATTATATAGTATATGCATAATACTAGATAGTAATCCCATTATCATTTCATACCGCAGTGCCCAAAATGGGCTATTTTCAATTGGAAACATATCTTCAAGTAAAAATGACCCCGTCCACACGTGACCGTGAGTTTAAACATTACAGCATGGAACACCATTATATATAAATGCATATACATATATAATTTTTCAGTTCATTACAATTTACGTAAAATATGTTATAGGAGTTATTATTGTATTTTTTAAATCATTTCAATTCATTATACTAAATTATTTTTATTTGTATGTACCGTTTTATTATACATTATAATTGAATAAATATTGATACTGGTTTGTAATATGTTATTATTAAAAGGCTAAAAATAAGTCAAAGTCCAAAGTCTAAATTGAAATAGTAATATATAGTATAATAATAGTCCAGTCATTTGGTGCAAAAAAAGGCTGTGGCCGGTACAGTACTCCGGGAATTCAGAGAATTGGTAATCTTATGGATTTCGATGTGAATGCGAAAATCAACTTTGTCATCTCAAATTTGAACAGCAAGTTGTCGCCATATTGGAAAAATGGCGTCAAACAACAGCTTTTTTAAAATATCTCCTTTCTGGCTGATTTTACGACAAAAGTATTTATGTACGAATTAAACTAGATAAAATTTCCTACAATTCTTTAGAAAACCTTTTTTTGTAAAGTTGATAGTTTGAGAGTACGGCCGCCTCAAAATCTTTGCTGCTCTCGCCGTAGTATCAAATCTCTTCATATATGACAGCACTTTGAACTTGACCACTTTCTCTCTAATAAATAAATATTTTCAATGTTAAATTAAGCGAATAAGATCTAGAAATAAAATAATTCAAACATTTTTCTGTTTTTTTGCTGATTTTTTAACACTTCAATGGCAAAGTAGCTATAAGTAAGTAGCTTGAAGTGTTAAAAAATCAGCAAAAAAAAAACAAAAAAATATTTGAATTATTTTATTGCTAGATCTTATTTGCTTAATTTAACATTGAAAATATTTATTTATTAGAAAGAATATGGTCAAGTTCAAAGTGCTGTCAGATATGGAGAGATTTGATACTACGGCGAGAGCAGCAAAGACTTTGAGGCGGCCGTACTCTCAAACTATCAAAAAAAAACGGTTTTTCAAAGAATTGTAGGAAATTTTATCTAGTTTAATTCGTACATAGTTACTTTTATCGTAGAATAAGCCAGAAAAAAGATATTTTAAAAAAAGCTGTTTTTTGACGCCATTTTTTCAATATGGCGGCAACTTGCCGTTCAAATTTGAGGTGGCAAAGTTAATTTTCTTAATGAGCACCTCGTAATCTATAAGATTACCAATTTTCAGAATTCCCGGAGTACTGTACCGGCAAAACGACGAAATGACTGGACTATAAGTTAAAAAACTAAATTGAAAATGTAAATGTAAAAAAAATATGTCAGCATTGCTATAAATATTCAATAGATGTTTAATTTGCTAATATTATTTTTTAATGATTAATTAATTTTTAATGAGAAATTGTTAGTGCAAATGAACTAAAATAAATTTTCAGTAAAAGGAAGAGTTCTATTTGTTCAGCGAAATACTTTATTTCAAATATTTGGAAATGAATTGCAATTTAGTTAAGTCGTGTTTGATCCGTTTGTGATTTAACATATTTTTGTTAATTTCATTATTAGGTACTTTATGTGCATAATTCTTTTTTTTTTTTCAAAACATCTTACTATCTTTCTTCTTTCGTTTTACAATTTATTCACATTAGGTTTTGCTGCCCTGTCGTGTTATTTCTTTAGTTTCGAATCTGACAACACCAAACATTGAAAGACAGATCTGAAATATTTGGTAAATTGCTTGCGTATTATGCGGCATTAGAATTACGGATAATGTAGTGAGTTAGTAGTAATATTTAATATAGTATAATGGTTTCAATAAAAGCACCATGGTATTAATATAATGTGACCTAGTTTAGTTAATTTACATTGCACGAAACATATTTCTTTTAAATAATCAAGTGACGTTTGACAAAGCAAAAATGGCATCCACGGAGCAAATCCAAAACAAAACGTGGGAACTTTCTTTATATGAATTACACAGAAGTCCACAAATAGCAGTGGTTGATAACACAGAAATCGCTGTATCTCCTCGTAGTTTACACAGCGAACTCATGTGCCCAATTTGCCTGGATATGCTCAAGAAGACAATGACCACTAAAGAATGCTTACATAGATTTTGCTCAGACTGCATTATTACAGCTCTGCGCAGTGGAAATAAAGAATGCCCCACTTGTAGGAAGAAACTAGTCTCCAAACGTTCTTTGAGACCTGATCCAAATTTTGATCTCCTAATCGCCAAGATTTATCCTAGTAGAGATGAGTATGAAGCTCACCAAGAGAGAGTCTTGGCTAAACTAAATAAAAGTCAGTCTCAAACAGCGCTTGTGAATTCTATCAAGGAAGGAATACAATTGCAATCGCAGAATAGACCACAGAGATCTAGAAAAAATTTGGATGATACAACAAATTTGAATCAGGCTCCTCAGACAGAGCAGGCAGTATCTAAAGACAACTTATCCACAAATACGAGTCAGTCAGCCAGTCCACTTAATTTGCCACAAAGTTCGGCATCACAGGTATTATATATTTATATTTAACAGAATTATTGTGAATTGGTTTGTATAGAACCCCATCAGCATTCTAGCGTAATTAAAATATTCATATTATTAGTCTTCATAAAAATTCAGATCGCAATGAAGATGCGCATATGGGCAAATAAAGATATTTTTTTATTAAGATAATGTTCAAATGAATGGTCCAATAAGTAGAGAGAAAAAGTATATCGTATCAAAGCTTCACTAAGACTGCCTTTATTATAATTTTTGAATACCTGATTACCATAACATTAGAATAAATGTAAGATTGAATAAATTTGCTTTTTTATATTGTGAAATATCACCAATTGATTAATATAATACATTGAAATAATTATATATTGCAATAACAAATCAGTAAAATTCCGGAATGTTTTACTTTAAGTAAAACTATATGATTCAATAGAATGCTCAGATTATATTATTTATTGAAAACAATTCAGGTTAGGATTAGTCCCGACAAAAGAACTTCTACAAAAGACAAAGAACATACCACTACACAAAACAATAGAAATAGAAAAATGTATACTAATATTCAAAATAAAAAACAACAAAATCAAAACTTGCACCACAATAGAGTCCAACCAGGATATACACGACCATCAAACGAGACAAAACCCAAACTTTCACATGAAACATGCTAAAACTAGTAAAGGACTTGCAAGTCCCCTGAGAAGTGCGAGCAATAAACTACCAGACGAACTAAAGACAATGATGGACCTAAACAATTACAAAATTAAATTAAAAATTACATAAGAGATAAATGAAGTTAACATAACAGATAGAGCATAAAATTCCTTATTTTAAATACTATATTACTTCTGTTCTGTAAAAATATTAATAACAATTAAGTATAAGTATGTATGTATGTACGCAATGCGTTCTGTGAATATACGTGTGTATAATAGTAGTAAGTAAAAATATATAGATGTCTTAATGTAAGTCTGTTACATAAAATTTAGATTTTATTTTTGTTAATAATTGCTGTGATCTCTCATACCAGAACAATTGTCTGACTGAGATACAGTATATATGAATTATATCATATAAATAAATAAGATATACAAAATTGCAAATTTATGCATTTTTGTAACTATTATCATTACACATTTAATACAATATAACTTGATTTCTTATTCTAGGTACCTTCAAATCCAGCTTCATTGAGGAGTACTCCATCTCCTGTTCCTTCAAATGTGAGTTCCACGAGTAAACCTCAATCAAAGAGGCCTAAGTCGGTTTTGACTTCAGAAAAGTCAGAATCAGAAAGTAGTATGGAAGGAAACGATAGTAATTTAGACACAGAAGGCGAAAGCATTGGTGAACCTAGTGTCAATGAAATTGAATTAGTTTTTAAACCACATCCAACGGAGATGACTGCAGATAATCAATTGATGAAAGCTCTGAAGGAGAATTCTATACGATATATAAAAACCACAGCAAATGCTACAGGTTTGCTATTATTATTAATCATATTTATTAATATTTAGGTTCCACTGCTAAATAAACCAACTATTTCAAAAGCCTTGGTACAAACATTCACACCTTAGATATAGTTATTCTCAGTTGCACTGTTATTTATATAATAATTTTATTATCCCTTTCTAGTTGATCACTTAAGCAAGTATTTAGCCATGAGACTGACATTAGATCTAGACAGTGAACTTCCTGACACATACAGAACGCTGAACTTCTGCATATACATTGCTCCTGCACCAGGTCAATACTTAGTATTGAGTGGGAACCAAACTTTAAGACAAGTTAATGATAAATTCTGGAAGGTTAGAATATGAAATATTATTCGCAAACCAATAATTTACTTTTAATACAAAATTTTTAATTATAGGTGAACAAACCTTTGGAAATGTTTTATTCTTGGAAAAAAACATGAGAGATAAATTGCAGTCAAGTTCAAATGATTTGCAATACATATATTTTATGTAATTATATTGTAATGATAGAATAATTTAATAGTTGGATTGATGATTGTAATATTGATGTACGAGTTTATATAGATATATTATATATTATGAAAGAAAATATTTATTTTTTAATGAATATATATATATGTGAGAGAAAATTACTACTTAAAACTTACAAATTTTTCTTGATTTGAATGAATAAGATGATAAAATATGTAAGTAAATTAATTCTATCCAAAACATTAATTCATTACCTTTGTATTTGTATGTTAAAATTTGGACCAAGATCCTTAAGATACCTCAAGCATATATAAGACAGTATTTTTGAGTTTACACTACCACTGTAAGGTGGTAAAGTTAATCTTGATGCTTAATATATTCTTAAGACAAATTCAAAATGGCTTATTGCTGAATACAAATTTCTTGATAATTACTAAAATTTTACATTTTAATCACTTTCTCTTCTTTCTATGATTTTAGAAAGTTTGAACAATTGCATAAACGTTGTATAAAAATTGGTTGTATTGACAGTTGATGAAAGGAATCCCATATCCTCAAAACATCCAATGGTTGGTATCCTCAAATTAAAAAAATAACTAGCAGTAGGTGGAATTCTGTCTTAAGGCAATTAGGGCATCGTGCCTTAAGGCAAATTGCTGGAACTTCCCGTACCGCAATTCAAAATTCGAGTAATTAAAAATAATCAATAATAATAATCAATAAAAGTTGATCAATGATTTGAAACTTTTAATAGAATTTCGAACCATATTAAATCATTCTATCTTAAATCATTTATTTTGAAATATTTTGGAAATTCTGAACTTTTTTTCAAAGCAATCGTACTGTTTTAACTGCATAAAGACGAAATATCAAAGCGCGTAAGCGCCGCGTCGTCGTCTAACGTGTAAACATTGGTACGGAACCTATAGAAATGTAAAAAAAATATACTTATTGTTAAAATCTCTATAAAATATCTAATAATTTGATGTGCATATGTCTGATGATCATTTTTCACCGCCAAATGGCATTTTTTTTTTACTTTTTTCATTAGATCTCCGAAACCGTTAGACCTGCCTTCATGAAAATTTGACCAATTCTTCATCTTGTCAATACAAGTAAAATGTTTTTTGAATTATTAAAATCGGACGCTACGTTCTCTTAAAAACTAAGGTACCGTCGTTTTTGGCACTTTTTGCCCCGTATCTTCGGAACGGCTGAACCTGCCTCCGCCAAAAACTAATCAGCACGTCTCTTTATCAATATGAATCGAATGTTTTTTTTGAATTATTCAAATCGGTTGATCGATGTTCCCGAAATCGTCGACGAAAATTTGTATCCGCACACACATACATCCATTTTTTCTAAGGTATGCCAAAATGTTCAGAAACCTTTGAAACGTCGAGAAATACAAAAATTTTCATTTTCGATTTTTTTGCGATTACTATAACTTGCCCTACGGGAAGATAATTAAGCCATTTCTGAAATATTTTATAAAACATGAAATTCAAATAATTATCAATAAAAAAAGTATGTTTTAACACTTTACTTGTTTATTTTGGAGCATAGGTTTTATAAAAATTAGGAAGGCAAATAAATGCATCCTTTCATATTACAAAATATCCGTACTACCAAGATTGAACATTTCTAAATCTTTATTACAATTTTATATTTATTCACACATATGTATACATGCTTATGTTAGTACGATTTAGAATCAACAATCAATTCCAAAGACACTATCTCAATATTTGACATTTATGAGCACATTATAAAGCACTGGTTAACTTTAATTTTATCAAAAACTTTACACCAAATCATACTTTATAAAAAAAAGGTAAAAAATAAGAATTTGTATATAATAAATCGTTAGGTTTTGAGATCACTAACTTAATATTAAAACAAAATGAAATTGCAATATAAATGTTTAAATTGAGAACCATTTTTTCAAACTTCATAAAAATTTGCCACACATATGTACACTAATTACAATGATTTATATACTTATCAGTTGTGCAAATAACTTACTAATATTGCAGGAACACATTTTTATAAATGGATATCACTTGCCTAAAATATTCACAAAGAAATTCATTTGGTTTTAGCAAAATTATTTAAAAGAACTTTTTGGTTCATATCCAAAACAAGCTATTACTACAAATTTACTCGAATGCTTCAAACAAAATTTTGTACATGAATTTTGAAAAGCTAAAAGAGCATGAATATTATTAAACTTTTCATAATTTTTTTATAAGGTTGAATAAAATAACTTTTTATATTTGATATTGACTCATATGTATACATATCAACATCCTTCTTATGTAAAAAATTATTTTTACGATTTTTAATATCATACTTCAATATTTTTTCACAAATCTAATAAACTTATTAACTATTGGAGCTATATTTTTTAAGACTGCAATTCTAATAAAAAGCTATTGATTACCTTGAACAATTGGTAATGTATCATGAACAATGGAAGTTTGAATAAAATTTAATTTAAAAATATAATTTATTACACTACTAATACCAGCATTAAATGCATATCACTATTGCTTTGTTATAGTTGAAATGGAAAAGACTTTTTGTATAAAAATACCACATGTGGTTTTCAAACTTATCGAAAAATATTAATACTTGTCATACCTGCTACATTTTCCTTTCTAAGCTTAAAAATGAATTTATATGTATATGAGGTTGATATGTTTATATGAGCCATTCTAAAACTTCCATATCGTTAAGAAAATCTACCAATCCTTCTTGATTTCAAATGCCCACTCCCATTTCAAATGCTCATTTTTATCATCATCGGTGAATAAAGATGTTACAGAATAGCCTCCGCGAGCTAGCATACCTGAAGCATTTTTAATAAAATTAATATTTTTATTAGCAACATATTCTATATAAAAACTGCTTCTCAACTGAAAACGAAAAATCAGAAAAAAGCATATTGCAGCAAAAATTTCAATGGTTAAGTGATAAACATCTTATGAGTTTAACTTAATACAATTAAAAGATAAATTGGAAAATGTTATGTATACGATTCAATTCTTCCAGACAAATAGTTTCAAAAATTATATATCTAGGGAAAATGAATATAAAATTTATTTCAAATTAACAGTCATGCATTTATTCACAGTTTATTAATATAAATCTATATATAATACGGTATCTAAATTTTATTAAATAAATAAACACACTTTTTTCAATAACACAATGAATGATATTTACCTGCAGGTGCATCTTCAGCGGGTGTAGTATAAGATTGCATTTCAGTTTTTGGAGGATAGGAACCAACCATGTGTGTCATTTTATCAACTGCAACATTAATGCTTATGTAAGTTTTTAAATATTTTTAGCTCTGAGTCAGCATGCATTTATTTAAAAATAGAACAATAAAATTTATTAAAATATTATTACTAGCACATTACTGAACAAATACTTCAAATAATAATGTACTAGTAAATCACAAATAGTTTTTGATTCATTAACTATAATCAAACATATAATTTAAATATATAATTTACCAAAAATAAGCTAACCTGGAGCTTTTCAGTAAATTGCAGCATAAATGATAACGATCAGATTAGATTTTATCATACAAAAATATTATTTATTCAAAAAGTACTTACCAGGAAGTCCTAGTTTAAAGGTCTTTTGCACATATTTTAATCCATGAACAATTTCTCTTTGAACAAGAAAATCAATTCGAATTTTATATTGGACACCCTCTTTGATTGTGAACACCTACAAAAAATTAAAATTGGGTTACTTAATAAAGAAATATAAAAGTGAATGCATTAGTAGTTTCACTAAAAATTGTTCGATCTTAAATATATAAATGCAGAAAATTTCAGATACTTGTCATACTCATTCACAAGAATGACTATTTCACAAACAATGTTTATACAAACATACATGCATTATACATTTAACAAATATTATTAATACATTACTTGTTTTTTCAACGCGGAAATGTCACCCGATAAATCGAGCTCCATATCATCTCGCCCGGCAACACAGAGAGCTAGTTTCTTAACAATTACTTTCCTGGGATCATTTGCATCTGAAACAATACATTAACTTCCTTAACCTAACTTGCATTCATTTTTTTTTATTTACAAACATAGTATTAACTTCCCGAAGCAGTAGTTTCTTTTCATAAAAAAATCCGATTCGCTAATTTGATGTTTTCTCGACGTTTCAAGCCACTCTGAATCGAATGAGACCAAATTTGGAAAAAGTATGTATGTGAGTGTGTGTGTGAACAGATTTTTTGCAGTAAATCGACGTTTTCTCAACAACGGCTAGACCGATTCCAAAAATTTAAAAGCCATTCGATGTGTATCGACGAGGAATAGCGTTTGTGAATTTTGCGCGACGATCAGCCAAACAGTTTCTTTGCAAATAGCAGAAAAATGAAAATTTTTTCGTCCACGTTTTAGCTCTCAATTCTGAATCGATTTTAAAAAATCAAAAACTTTTTGAAAGATATTGGTTGGGAATGATACTGATTAGTTTTAGGTAAAAATCTACCAAAATTTGCCGATTCTTACGAACCTTTTTTTGGCAATAGATACTATGGTCTTATAGAACTTACTGAAATATTACGGCCTTACGACAAGTAATTTAATTTAAAAAATTCATCAAAATTTGAGAAAATGAGTAGTTTTTCTTTGGCGTTTGTTAAAATTAAAATTAGAAGATTTACTTGGTATAACGATAAAGTACTTGGTCTTAATGAACATACTAAACCATTAGAGTCCTACGGAGACTGGTTCAATTATAAAAATTGTTGATTTTTAAAAATTTGCTCTTAGGAAATACTCCGAGTTAATGTGTTTGTTCGTTTTCAATTATGTATAATAAATGCACTCGGAATACTTTTAATCACTCCTAAATTCATTTATTTTTTATTGATCAAGTCGATTATTTACACATATTGTGAAGTTCATGTAACTTGCCTTAAGGCAAAATACCAATGCCAACTAGTTTTTTATTTATAAGCATAGTCCTTCAACTTAAAATGTCGTGGATGTATATTAAATTTTATATTATTTTAAAAAATATTTTAACATTATAACGGATATGTATCTTAGCAGTAATTAAAATACAAATTGTGAAGTTTTGTAGAGTGATTTTTTCCATAATGATAGGATGAATAATAAATGTATTTTTTAACCATAATTTCAACAACTAGCTAATTGCAATAGCTTCCAACAGTGTAATTTGGTATTCAAGTTCATATTAATTATACATTAATGTATAATTCGGTGGACCTCTCAATGTTATATTATCATATTAAATAATTATATAATAACATAATAATAAATAATATTATATCAAATAAAAAATATAGAATACAAGTCAAGTATCAGAATTTCTTTTTGAAACCTTATCTATATTTTGTTGAAATATTCATTCAATTATAATTTTGAAAAATTATGAATTTGTATTATTGCATACCAACTATAACTTTTCCAACTTGCGCTTCACCCAGCAATGCCTCTTTGTATTTTCTTAAGCTTTCATCCTCTTGATCAGCTGCAACCATTTCTTCAATAGTTTTCTCTGGTGGTGGTTTGTAATTAGAATCGATGGTGTCGATATCTCCCTCACCGAGGTTTTCTACTGGTGTTTCTTCTGACATTCTACAAATAAAAATAATAAATAATTTAGACCAAAAAACAGAATAACTCATGTGAATAAAAAATGCAGTATTTGATTAATATAATATGTATAATCGATTGTATAAAAAATTCATGGCTCAAGTTACATTTTGAACAAAACTCTGAAGATAAGAGCAAAAAATATATAATACTTATCTGCTTCAGTGAAGAAACAAAATTTTAACAACTTTTCACAAAACGTACACAAGATGTGTATCTCATAGTTTATCGAAATTGCACAATAAATTTAAAATGACTAACGTTTTATACAATTTATTACAAAATAAAATATATTTAATATAAATCAAAAATATAGGGTAATAAGGAACAAAAATATAAAGTGTTTATGCGTATTGTACATAGTATATTTATATCCAGAACTGTTGTTATTAATTTTTAATGACGCGTTAATTAGTTTTCCAATTTTATTTCAAACTTATAATATTCTATTCGAATACTTACTTGATATTTTAATTAATAAAACACTTTTTGGTATCTGCAATTTATTTGAAACGTGTAAGTAAACGACACTAGAACTTAATTTGGGCGTGTAAAAAATTTGTAAAATGATAAGCAAACGTCAAGTCTAGCAAACCGGCGACCAAAGCGAAGAATTCAACATGGCCGATTGATGTGAACTTCGCGCAGTATATTCAGCGGGTAAATTCAAAACTTAAACCAATTCAAATTATTCATTATATTTGATTTAAATTAAATTCAAATTTATACATATCATAACTGAAATTTTTTACTGAAACCAACATAGGAAAGTAGGTCAATGATTTGAGAGCATCCCAAATCACCGATCCCCTTTCACCCCTTGTTTATTATTCTCATTACCATGAATCACTTTTTTATTCATTTGTATGCATTTTCCTTTCGATACTTATGCTTCCATGTTTTCTGATCCTTTGTTCGGCTTTCTGTCCCTGTATTTTCTCTTCTAGCATAAATCGTCAATCATCTGCATTCTTCTTCCTCTCAATCCTTTCAGTTCTTCTATTTTATCTTAGACGACTCTTTTTGCAGAATGGATCCGACCTAGTTTTATTTTCAGGATCGTGTTCAATAGAGTTCTATCTTTGCCCACTTTTCTCAGGATTTCTTATCTTGTCTGTCCACTTTATCTTGATTTTTTCATCTTGTCTGGCCACTTTAGCACTCCATTCGCCTTTGATTTTTTATCTTGTACCTTTATCTTTGATTTTTTTATCTTGTCTGTCCATTTTAGCACTCCATTCGCCTCCAGCACTATTTTTCAAAACTCTCCAGATAGTTTTTGTTGGACTTTCTTAGAGTCCATGTCTCTGACCCGTACAGAGTCATGCTCCTGACATAGGACTCTATTAGAACTTTATTAGTCTTTTCCGCAAGTTAAGATTCAGAACGCCCCCAGGTACATTCCCAACTGGTTGATTCACCAGGACAGCAATATGATGACAGTAAATGAAGAAATTCAACAAAAATCAGAAAACTATAAGAGAAGAATTAACGCCCAAAATACACCCAAATAGCTTGGCACGGAAAGTATTTTCAAAAGCGCGCCCAACCAGGCTAAAACTGGGAAAATGGGAAACTTTTATGAGATCATTGGGAAAAATTTCCAATGATCTCATAAAAGGCTATTTGTAATCGCTATTATTATTATATTGTAATTTGTACTCTATTTTATTTATATTTATGTTATCGTTCATTAATGTTACTAGATCTTATACCATTTAGTAGTTGTAACAGATATTGTAATTAAATAAAATGTTTAGGAGTTTAGGTATTTAATTATATTTATTATAAAAATGCTTTTAATAAGGCAAATTATTTTTGCACTTTAAGATTATGCGGTCATTAAATGACTAAAAAAAATCGAAATAGATCTAGAGATCTTGCCAGATATTACGAGCTAGTATTAACCAATTTAAATTTAAAAAAAAATATGGACAAAAAATGTAGCCACTTACAAATATGCACATAACAATATTTGGAAGTGAAAAGTTATAGAAAACATAGCAAATTCGACAGCAATTTTGTTACACAATACACAATCATATTGTTACTCGCAGAATATTCAATAGTACCAGTGACGTCGGAACCAAATTTTTGATGGGTGGGCTCGTTTTTGTTGATAGACAGCCAGTGGGTTTTATTTCAGAGATATCAGCCCATATAATTTTTTGAAATTGAAGGGTGGGCTGAGCCCCCCCCCTCAAAAATCATGGGTGGGCTCAAGCCCACACAGTCCACACGGTTCCGACGCCACTGAATAGTATATAAAATTACCAGATTTTTATAAACTTACGAGTATCAATACAATGCATTTTGTCATTAGAAATTTGCCCTCACCAATAAATGAGAATTTTTAAACTTTCTTATAAGATTCATACAAATCTAAGAAAATATTTAAACTTTTACATTTTTATATAAATTTACTAACAGTAATCATAACTTAATAGTCCTATTCCTATAAGCTTGTTGAGATGACTTTTTAATGACGTGGATTTATAGATGGCAACTCAACGGTTGGCAAGAATTTATTTATTGATTGCAGTAATAACGATAAAAGCTATTTTCACCAAAAAATACTTTTCAATTTATATTGCCAGAGAAAACTAATGTCACTACTGTTTTGCATCCACGACTGAGACGAGTATCATACCTGTAACTTCCTATTGGAATCCCATAACTGTAACTAAATTTAGTGTGCTTAGGGGAAAGCACTTAATTATTGAATAAATAAAATTTTCTAATTATGTATTTGAGGAAGAGTTAAAAAAATAACACTGCCTTTTTACCTAATTTATAAGGAATGCCTTATACTTAAATTAAAAGGTAAAGTTAAAATAACCAAAGGCTATTTTGAAGGCTTTTCATCTTTATTAGTGATATTGAAACCTCGCATTAATTTTATATAATATATGATATATAGTTTATATATCATTTGTTGATTCCTATATGAAATTAATTAAATTAGTAATTATAATTATCCTATATAAAGAATCTGGCAATAACGGCATTCTGACAGTACACGTTCAGATTATAAAAATTTAACTAACAATATTTGTAAGTGAAAAGTTATATAAAAACATATCATTTTCGATTGAATTTTTGTTATGATTTTTTTAATGGTTCAGAGATCACACTATGAAAATAATCCTTTGCTTTTTAGAGAACAACTACAGTCATATTGTTACTCGCAAAATATGGAATAGTACAACGCCAGCATTCCAAATGATAAGAGTGTTGATATCATTTTAATTTTTGGCACGAAGTTTTGATAAGACTTCTAAGGTATTTGTTTCCGGTTATAAATATCCATGAGTTTCGTAATAACTTGGGTATTATAATTATTTGCAGGTTGATTAATATTCATTGCTGGATAAAACAAATTTTATCAAAAAATAAGGATCACTATAAATAGTACATTGTTTGATAAGACATTATATCCTCGAGTCAATTGAGACAATCAAATCATATTTTTATGTTTGAAGAATTTGTTCGAACATAATATGATCTTCACTAATCTTGTCGACCAGGAGCCAAATTATTTCAATACATTTTAGATGGGCATTTAATATTTTGTTCGCTTGAAATAAGAAAATGTCTGTGCAGTGTGCAGTAAACTGCCTTCAAATTAATATAGGGTACCTACCTAGGGCGGAGAGTCGTAAGAGTCAAGGTGATGGCTGGTTATACATTTTTTCCCTCTACTTTCAAGTATTGTTGTTAAAAAATATTTAACTTCACTTGTTTCTGAGATGCCGGTGGTGGACCTTTAAGGCCCGTTTTACCCTATAATGTGTGTGCATATGTGGAGTATGCTTGGCAGTCGATTCATCTGGAAGCCGCGATCGGTACTCAGGTATCTTTGGAATTCATTTAGAATAATTTTTCACGTACGATTGTACAATATCGATGAAATCAAGAGATCGGACTTTATAAAATGAATTCATGCGAACAGCGACCTGGCATATCAAGCCTAAAGATAACGAATGTTTTTCACATGCAGCACCAATATCAATACAGGTTTACATATATAAAAATGTCAATTTTAGTCTGCCTTGGAGTAATAGTTAAGAACATTGGCTAGCACCAACTAGTCCTGGGATCGATCTCAACTTTGCCCAGCTCGATATCAAACAATGATAACAAATAGATCTCAAGCATAACCTCAAGCAATAATCGACTTATCAAATCGAATATTGTCTCATTATATTTTCAGTACAGAGCAACTAAGCCAAAGAAATAATTCTTTTTAGTCATTTGTACGTTACTTAATCTTATAACTATTATAATAATAACATTGATTTTGTAGTCAAAATTTTCAGAAACCTTGCTTTACCATTATTAAATATAAATCATAATTTACGAGCGACGAGAGAAAGAAATCTTACAAGAGACCCAGGCATAATGTTCGTATCGTGATTGCCCCTTGAGGACCTCGAAATTATCCTTAATTCCTTTTACATTTATTTTTTTGTTCTGCGGGTATAATTTACAAGCACTTTTATATCCCCGTGAGACATATGCTCTTATGATATTTACTCTATCTTTATGAGAATTATCATGAGGAATGGATTATTTATAAAAGGATTACTTTTTGTATTTTTTCTACTAATATACCTATATACTACTAAATACTTTATGCTTTATTTCATTTTTTAATATTAATTTTTATTGTATATTTCATGAGCAAGTCCCTTTAAAATTATAAAATAGAGAATCCTGATATAACACTCTATTCTGCCAAGAAAAATATTCGTGAACAAAATATACAATTGTGAACATAAATAATATATAGCATAACAGATGTAAAGAGTTCGTTCAATATTGGCATATATCTAATATATCATAGAAGATTGATAAAATTATGTAAATCTATAATATATTAATAAAAATAAATTAATAAATTGTCAAAAGTAACATGTTCAGACAAAACTTTTAAGGAAGGTTTATTTTTTTATGGATAAATTTAAATAGGTTTTTCCTTCCTATATTATAGTATTCTATTCTTGTTATATTATTAAAGACAATAGACAACTCTTTCCTTTCTAATATTGTTATATTTATTTTCAATTGTAATCATCGTAGTTTTAAATCATAGCAATAATTCCCTAGAAGGCTATTTACTTAATATTATAAAATCAAAAATTTATATCTATATTTTCGAGTGAAACGGATATAGTGTTACTCGATATTAGGTATGTGCTTGATATAAGAATGTCTGAGTTAAGAATTAAACCTGGAACTTTTTGCTTTTCAAACAATAGTTCTTACGACTGAGCCTCATTTAACGTAAATAAAAATCAAATTATAATCTTATTCAATATGTAAATGGAATATAGGGGAGACTGGGTACGGTTGTGCCAGGCTTCGTTAGTGATAGTCGTCATAACAGCTAAACTATACTGATTTTGAGAGAAGATCCAAAGGAAGAAAAATTATGTATGATGATTCGAACAAGTTCGTGCATTTGATTTTATGACAAATCCTTCGCATAAGTACAGTATTTCAGTATTTCCACGTAGACAAATATTCAAATTAACATTTAATTTACTTTATACCCAGCTAACTGGTAAATTAACAAAATTATTACTGA